ATGTGCTCGTGCTTGTTGCCGTGCTGGAGGATGTGATGGACGTTGTGTTTGTGCTTGTTCTGCTTGTGCTTGATGGTGTGGAGGAATGTTGTGTTGTGGTGAGTTCATGCACGTTGAATTAAACTGCTCAAAAAACTCAAATCGCACTGCTTGAGGAAACATTCGCAAAACATGCAAGACCATGCAGAAACTGTGCAAACGCTGTGAACTGGCAGATCCCGTGTTTAGGCCCGGCGGCCGTTGAGGCAGTTAATTCGGTGGAAGTGGAGGTGAATTCCAGTGAGATTCCGGTGAGCGGTGGTAAGCTCCGTTAGTGATTTCCCAATGAAACGGCGCCTCCTTGCGGAGGATCACACTCAGCGCCCGAGTGGGACGGCTGAGCGAGACACACTTTGACATTGGTTTTCAGTTAACTCAGTTCCCAGGTCAAAAATGGCGAAGGAACGGCAGGGTGAAAGGTCCGAAAAGTTGAAGGTGTTTGAACAAAGGCTGTTTCTCAAGTCTGCAGAAAATCGGCGGCGGCGAAAACGAGCGGCGCAGCTGACGGCGGCAAACGAAAAAAAGTGTAAGGGGTAGGTATCATGAAGGACCATGAATCAAACTGATCAAATTGGACAGCGTGTTCAACAGTTGTAGCAGGTACGTTTGCAGCCCCCCCCAGTGGCCTCTTCGTTGGCCATCCGCCACTGGGGAGGGGGATGGCCCCCTGCTGTGAAAAAGGTAGAAGTTGGCAGTGAACCCTGTGGCACAGGGGTTGACACACACACACACACTGGGGATGCAGACAACACAGGTACAAAGTCTCAAAATGTCTCAAAGTTTTATCACTTTTAGTTACTCAATTCACAAGAGACAAATAGACATTCCCTCCTTCCATCTTGCACCAGGTTGCTGTTGGAAGGACACCAAGCTGAGGGAGAAGAACCAGGTATTGCGCTCAGCTGTTGAAATTCTGAAAAGAACCAGTGAATCATGCGACGTTTTGTTCACATGCGAACATATTGGAGCACACGCGAAGTGTTGCAGAAGTTGAGTTTACTTGTTTGTCGGGGAAGTGACGGAACCGCATTTAGAGTTTGGAGGTGATGATTAATTACTTGAGGTACCCTCACGTGAAAGATATGGTTGTTTGCATGTAAAACAGGTGGCGAGCACGTGGCAACATAGTTGAGTTGAGCAGATGTCCCTGTTTGATACTGTGACACTATTGCGGTCAAAAAGAAAAGCACAGAAACGCAAGACTCTTCATCAAAGGACATTTGAGAAAGTTGCATGAACAGATTTACAGCGGAGTTGCAGGAACAAGTTATACCGGCTCTGCAATGCTTGTCAGATAATCAACCTAAATCCGAGGCACTGACCTGGAACGTAGCCTGGCCGTCTACCAATGGTTGGTTGAGGTGCACCTGTCGTCGCATCATGAAGCACCAAAAGCAGCAACACGTGGTCCGACCTTCCCTAAGATTTTGATTCAGATGCACAACGATCATATTTTCATTTTTGTTCATATCCTTGGCTGTTCAAGACGTGCAGTCAGTGTTGAGTTCAGAACTCACCCATGAGGACAGGTGTGCCCTAGTTTGAAGGACCAAAGGCATAGAACAAAATGAACGTTGCTTTTATCTCATCTCCAGAACACCATTGCACAAATGGGCTGGTACTGGTGCAGGTAGCTGGCTGTGCTCCAGGGCTTTTGCGCTTGAAGGGTTGCGGCTCCACCGCAGGGTTGGGGCAGTTGGTGGTGCCTGTGCCCATCCAGGCCACGCTTTTGCCATGCCGTTCTTTGGATTTTGGAGCGCAACTGCTTCGTGACACTGACGTCCAAGACAGCACACCTTTGTTTCCTTATCCGTATCCCGAACGTCATAGCACAGCATTCCCCAATAAGGCGCCATTCCCCAATAAGGTGACCTGATAGTTGGTAGTATAGTAGCTTCTTGCTCCTAGTAGTACGGCCAGGAGCCCCTAGTAGCGAACATTGTTACTAATAGTTGGATGGGATGACGCGCATTCACGGGTATTTGGGATGCTCGTAGTTCTTTGCGTCTCAAGACGGCAGGAGCTCGTGATTCGTTCCGGTCCCAAGCCTGCGGAGATGGAGGGCATGAACTTCCCCAGCGGCCTTTACTTCGCCAAGGATTGTCAGCATGTGCAGATTTGCTTCCTGCTACTCCAGTACAAAAAAGGTGTATGAACACGAAGCCATGCAATTGCATGCATTCAACATCATTCAACAATCAATTTGTTTGCAGCGTGAAAAGCGCCAACCTGCCAGGACAGCACATCGCTCTTGCCGGAGCGCTGGGATTGGTTCAGCGATTGCAGTCCATACAGCGCACACCCCTAAAATGGCACTGGCCTTGTGGCTATGGATCAGTTTATCACCGCTTGATCATTCGTTGCTTGAATTTGTCGAAGCCATTTGGAGCCTGACACTCTGTGAAGCAGGTATTTACTTGTGGGCACATGGATGCACTATTCAATTTTATATCGATAGCCTTGAGGCTCAGTAGTGCACAGTTTCACTCTAGATGGACAGGTTCGCCGAAGGGTCAATGTTTTTAGGGTACGGGTAGGATGAATAATCGGCATTTCTTGCCCTCCAAAGCAAAATTGCATTTGCAAGTTTGTATTCAAGACTCAAGAGGCATTGGTGATGCGACTCATGACTTTCCTGTTTTGAGTCTTGGAGCGTGATTTCGAGACGTTTTTTGGACAAAGGTTTGTGTTGACACATGTTTCAAGGAGGCCTTTATGTTGACAAGCAAAGCGTGCTCTCTCTCTTCTACGCCAGTCAGGAGATTGAGGTGCTTCTGCCACCACTGGGAAAGGCCTTAGAGGAGCATGCTGTGAGGTTGGAAGGGCATGTAGAGACCTGACTGCAGCTTCAGGTCATGAAGCCAAACAGGATAATACTATTTGGCATCAAAATGTATGGAGATCAGAGTGCAGGGGTAGTCACATCCCTTAAGACCCAAAGAAACAATCTTGCATAGTGAAATGCTGTGCCGATGTGTGTTATCCCCTCTTTACGGGCATTGAAGATGCTTCAGATTGATTCTTTGTGATTGCAGAAGCACGCCTCTCATTATCAGTTGGTCAGCGTATTGAGGCCGATTGATTAGTTTCCCTGAAATCTACGAACCAAATCATTTGTGCGAGCGCTTCTTCAAGGAAGCCCCCCCCCGCCGCCGAGATTTTCACATGTTCCTCACTCATGCTGTGCAAAGGATCGAGATGAGAATCCCGACCTGGCAGGTGCAGCGACAGTGAGAGCCAAATAGCGAACACTGTATTCTTCTTTTTCCATTTTGAATGATTTTGACATACATTATACATTGACTTTATCCCACTTTATCCCTTGCACACTTCTTTTGCGAGGCCGACGGGCGGTCCGGGTCCGTGAGCTCCTCATGGAACTGGGTGTCCCTCGGACCCAGATGCGGCCGCAGAGCTGCAAGGCTTGTTTGCTTGTGCTGGGTCTTCCAATGAAGACACTGTTCATGAAATCCCACAAAGGACTTTCAAACTACATCACATCGATGATATTATATTCACGGCTCAAGGTGCAGTTTTGATCTTCCGAGCTGTTGCGAGTGCTTTTCAAGCAATAGACGAGAGCAATGGCAAATCCTGCCCTCACTGAAGATGCTGTGAACACGGGCGCAGTTGCGTGGGTCTTGACCTCCGCAGCTTTGGTGTTCTTGATGACAGCCGGACTTGGCTTTTTCTATGGTGGTTTGGTGCGCGACACGAACGTTATCAACACCATGATGATGAGTGTAGCATCAATGGCCATTGTATGCTTGACCTGGGTCGTCTTTGGGTTCTCTTGGGCCTTTGGAGACAATGGTGGTGCTGCAATTGGGAACATTGTGGGCAACTTCGACTACAGCCTGTGGATGAATTTGGACATGAAGATGTGGGGTGACTCGGGGCTCCCTGGTCTTTGTTTTGCAGCTTTCCAGATGACCTTTGCCATCATCGCTTCAGCGATCATCTCCGGCTCCTTGGTGGAGCGTATGCGCTTTAGCGCATATTCTATCATGTTGGCCTTGTGGTCCTTGCTGATCTACGCCCCACTCTGCCATTGGGTTTGGGGCCCTGGTGGTTGGATCGCAGAATTCGGAGCTTTGGATTTTGCTGGAGGCACCGTCGTGCACATCAGCTCTGGTGTGTCCGGCCTTGTTGCAGGTGCCATCGTTGGACCCAGAAGGCATGTGGAGAAGGAGCTGGGACCCGCCAACGCTCCTTTCGTCATCCTCGGTGGCAGCCTACTGTGGTTTGGTTGGCTAGGCTTCAATGGCGGATCTGCTTTGTCAGTGAGCGATGGTGTGGCGGCCCGTGCTGTGGCCACCACATTCGTGGCAGCAGCTTCTTCGATGTTGACCTGGTTGATGCTGGAACGCCTTTTCAAAGGCAAATCCACCAGTGTAGGAGCCTCGGTAGGCGCAGTGGCTGGGCTTGTGTGCATCACTCCGGGAGCTGGCTTCGTGACACCTGGCTGGAGCATTGCCATTGGTGCTTTGGGTGCTGTTTGGTGCTACGTCTCTGTAGAGGTGGTAAACAAGGTGAATTTGGTGGATGACACACTGGATGCCTTTGGCTTGCATGGCATGGGCGGCATCGGTGGGGCCATTTTGACCGGTATTTTTGCATTGGACGGTGGCCTGATCTACACTGGAAGCTTTGAACTATTGGGCAAGCAGATTGTTGGTGCACTGGCAGGTGTGGCCTTCTCAGCCATTGGCACTGCCATCATCGTCGTGGCACTGAGGCTGGTGATGAAGCTGCGCATCCCCGAAGAACAGGAGATTGAAGGTGTGGACCAGCATACTCATGGCGAGACCTACCACAGTCCTGTCAAGAAGTACCCCCAGATGAAAGAGTCTGAGTCCACTGAAGCATCAGACACTGTCTGACTTGCTGTTTCTTCTTCCACATAATTAACATGTTCGATTTTGGCATCGGACGAGGGTGGAGTCCTTGTTCAGCACGTTCGCATAGATTCGGTGCGTGCAGCTCGAATTAATCTCCACGAAGATGGGGTGTTTGCCAGTTTGCTCGTGGGAACGCACGAGCAACTTTTATGTTCACTGTCCACTTCTGGATAGCAGTCAAGCAATTGACTGCTGTTTCAGCATCCGACTCTGCGGATGGGCAGATTATAACAGATTGGTGTTGAAATCAAAAAGAACTACATTGGTCCAGCAGACAAATAGCGGTCTTTTCGCGCATGTAAAAAGTACAGCTTGGACTTTCTTGCCTCGTTGTGAGAAGAGTTTGGAGCTTGTATCCAGGCTCTTCATCCTTTGAGCCGCACACAGCTGGCAGTGAATCGGCGGGTGGAGCTTCACATCCTGTGATTTGCTGCTGCAAAGGTGGAATTGCTGAGATGATTCTGCAAAGCAGGTGGACGAAATTCACATCAGCACCAACAAAGCAGCGGTGCCAAGGGTTTCGTCAGCCAGTCCGGCCGAAAAGACCTGCCTGATTTTTTCTTGTGGAAGGTGTTGTTTTCACGATTTCTATGTATCAGGATCCCCAGAGCGGGTGGTTTTCAATGACTCCGACTCCAATGAGTTATTTCAGTTATGCATTTATGATGTTTCTTCAATGTTCTTCAACCATGTCAACCATGTCTTGACTTGTGGTCTTCTTGGCCTTGCTTGCTTGAAGCCGATTTGGTCGCGTGAAGCGGGGCCCAGCTGCTGCTGATGAGCTGGGCCCTTGAGTTTTGACCTGCATCAACTTGGTTTCCTCATCTGAGGCATGCCATTCAAAAGAGGTCATAAATAGAGTCACACAGGCAGTTTCTTTCTTTGATTACTGTAAGGTCATATGAGCTTGGATAGTGTCGGTTTGTCGTGCTCAGGTGACAGGAAGCGCAGCGTCGTGAAGAGGCGCACATGGAGAGTTCGATTGCAATGAAGCGAGAATGATGCAAAAATGGAAGACTGTCCTATCTCGTTATCCACTTTATGACCTACAAATAGGCATCTAAAGAAAAACAAAGAAAAACAAAGAAATATATATATATATATTTATAATATGTTAAGCACACATTTGATCGACATCTTGAATAGCCTGAGTCATTCACCTCTCTCCGGGAGGCCGAAAACCCCGAAGACCGAGAGTTTCCAAATTGGTGACTTCGCAGCTTGGCCGAAACAAGAGACGACAGTTTCCTCGAGAAGATAGCCTGGTGGAGAATTAGATGGGAATACTGCTTCTAATCTTTCTTGTCCAGACTACGGTATATCCATTTTCTAGTTTGCACTTCCTAAAGCATTTTTTGTGGACGACGTGATCTGAGGTCCAAATCGGAGATAATGAACAACTGGTTGGCCACGTAAAGTTCCAAGGCTTTGGTGAGATGGCTGACAAGATCAATCTTGGGTTCCACTGTATCATGCCCAAATGAGTGGCAAACAACACAAATAGATACAAATAGTATAGTCAGCCAAAGAGTGACAAGGGCCTTGGGTGGTTTATCCTGAGTCTCTAGTTGCGATACTTGTATTGGAAGAGATTCACCTACACTGTCAGTTTTCAGCACGAACCCTTTGCCAGGTGCAACCAGCTTTGCAGATGGCGTTTGGGTTGGTATCCAATGCCAGAAGGCTTACGGGAAGAATGTCACAGCCTTGGAGCATCACCATGCATCATGGGTTTTTCAAGCACATCAGAGCTGCGAGGACGGCAGCGTGCAGGGCGTTCGTCCGCCCAGCACATTTTCGGGTGTTGCGAAGTACTCAACACCAGAAATGGGTTTCGCAACTTATCTCAGAAGTTCATTCATTGAATGCCAGGCTACTTTGAGTGCCCGCCAAAGTATGGGCTTTTCGCGCGTCCAACAAGCCTTCGCCGCCTGCAGGAGCGGGTAGCCTTGTATTGTTATAGTCTAAATTATACCAGTTTGTGACAGCTTGTTTGGGCTGCTTCTCTGCTGTCTCTAAGGGATGTTTGTGCGGGAGAGCGCTGCAAAAGTAATAATGTTGATCCCAGTGTCAAATCGAGGAACACTCGGCCAAAAAGAAACATGTCTCTTGTAGGACTCGAGCAGTCAGAGCCAGGCTGCTGAAGGCTGAAGCCTCTCTCTATGCACCAAGGAAGTCAGACAAATGTTCTACCTGGGCAAGTTGGTGGTGTGGTCAAATCATGTCAAATCATTAGAGGCATGGGATGCCGAGTAGAACGAAGAACTGGTGGCATTGTTCATTTGGAGTCAGTCCTTACTTTTGTTGCATTTCTTGCTGCCAGCAGGTAAGACTATGTGTGGAGCCTCTGATGGGGCTTGGTTAGCTTTAGTTGCAGCATTTGTTGAGACGTTCTTGTAGCGCAATGTGGGGATTTGGCTGTGACCAGAAGAAGCACGGACAGCGTCCTTTGAAGAGTGTTGTGACTGCTCTTCTTGCTGTTCGAGTAATGATGCATGATCCGTCTTGTCGTGGATGGCAGATTGTGAGGCGGGCCCCAGCGGCTCCAGTGGCTGCAGCGGCTCCAGTGGCTGCAGCGGCTCCAGTAGCAGCGGTGAGCAAGGTGGGTTCACTGCTGCTATCAGTTCCATCATTTCAATGCTTGATGGAACAGGATGCGCAAGCTCCAGCTAGTTCTTCCACAATCAACGAGGAGTTTGTGCCCAAGGAAGCTTTCAGAATTCTGTGGTGTGCTGCTTGCTTTTCATGTTTTAACTTGCACCATTTGCTCTGACAAGTTTGAGCACTTTGCTGCTAAGAACGGAGCCAAAGGTTCTCCATATTTCCTCGAACCGAAGTGGAACGGCTAAATCCCTCACCTAGAGGACTGAGAGGGACTGGCTGAGAGAAGTTCACTAATGTACGAAAACAAACGTGTATCCATCACGTCCAAACTTGCATCACCGCAAACACGCAACCAAGATTGCATGCATGCTTGAATAGATTTGGATTGCATCAACTGAACTTCTCAGGCCAACAAGCTCGTTTTTTTTGACAGCACTTTCGGTAGATTGAACAGCTTGAGCCGGTGTAAGGCTGGAGAAAGCCGTCCGGAAGCAAGACCTTCAGAAGCTTCGTGAGGTTCTGCCCAAGGCGTGACATTCGCATCTTCGTTACTTGGGAATGTTGTTACAAGTAGCTTCTTGCTACTAGTAGTACGGCCAGGAGCCCCTAGTAGCGTCCTTGCTCCTAGTAGCGATGCCAGGAGCTTGTAGTAGGGTTCTTGCTCCTAGTAGCGATGCCAGGAGCCCGTAGTAGCGTCCTTGCTCCTAGTAGTTCATTTTTTGTCTTATCAATTTTTGTTTAATCTTTCATAATATTCTCTTTCCTTAGACTATTAGATAGTCATCTCACCTGAAGGCAAACATTTTAGACCATGTAGTTCTTGTAACTTCCGACGGTATTGTGGAGATTCGACAAAGAGCGAACCTCTTGTTCATTCTTTGGGTGTAGTGCGCATCTGGACAAGACACTCATGTCCTGGCGCTATGGCCCGAGGCCATATCAAGCCATGGGAATGTGGCCCTGGATGCATGGAAGGCAGTGCAGCATAGGATGTCATTCTTGTAGCTACAGCCATGTAAGCATGCAGTAGTAGCTTTCCAATCCGCGCCCACATGCCGCATCTGCTTCTAGCATGAACCCGTTGACGTGGAATACAGGAAACTGCTGACGATTTGGCTTTAGGATTTTAGACATTCGACATTTGCACGCCAGTTGTGGGATTTGGAGTATTGCCGTCTGAAAGAGGCTGAGGTGCAGCTCCTTCTTGCAAACTCAGACACCCTGACATCCCAATTTGCAACTGCAAGAAAGTACGATGTACAATGTACTGTGTGCTATCATATCCATCTACAAATATCATAAACATCTACAAATATTGAATATTTGCATTGGCAACGACTCTTTCTCTTGCATGCATTCTTTTTTGATCCTTGAGCAAGGCGCGGATGCAAGCAGAACTGGAGGAGCTGAAGTCAAAGGTCTCCAAGATGACAGATGAGGCCTTCAACCATTTCTTTGCGCACACATAGTCAGCCATAGTCAGACAGTTTCACATTTTTTCTTGCCTGCTCCACCCTTTTTCGAGCTGGTCGTTTTGAAAGGCTGATGGAGAAGAGTAGAGTCAAGTCTTCAGCTGAACAGCCAGGTCCAAACCCTGCGAGCCAGCGAGCTGCAGAAGGCCAGCAGAATGGCAGAATTGTGTTGGTAGAGTTTTTGTACTGCAAAAGGAATTCGGAATTCAATCAGACATTCATACCTGGCACTCAGTGCTGTGCTCAAGGAGCAAGCTGCCAAAAAGATACAGGCAGCACAGAGGGGCTTGGAACTGCGCCAGGACAAGCTCGTCTTTTGTACTCCAACTCTTGGTTGAAGTGAGCTGATGGACACATCATTATTTGTGCCAGCAACTTTGTGAATGGCATGGTGATCCCTGGGTCAAACTGCGATGAAACAGCAGAAGAAAAGCCATTTGACGTGGAAGGAGCAGCCACTAGGCTGGCTGGGCTGTGAATTGCTCTGCATGTGTTACAAGAACTTACTGTATATAAGTGCGCCGTAGTTGAACTAAGCAGTATCAGCACTCACCGATCCAACATGTGCCTTCCATACCCTCAATTTTATGCAACCTTTGGTGCCTCAGACAATCAAATATGCTTCAAAGAAGGCCGACGGTTCGATGTCTTGAGGTGTCCTCACACCTGCGATCTTCTGGGCTCAAGGCAACACTGGCAGGTAACGTTTTTGTGTTCTGCAGCCGCCCGTCACTGAGTTGCAAGCTGAGAGAACTGTTTCAGATGCGTGGAAATCAGATGTGTGAAACTCCTTGTTTGGATTCATTTGGGCAAGTTCACAGAAAGAACCTCAATAAACCTCGCTCTCTAGGAAATTCACTGTTCATGCACCAGACAAAGAAAACAAGTGACTTTGGGAGGGCATGGTCGGGGCAGCAAGGCCATGAAGATCAACATCGCGAACCCGACCACGGGTATGCAGAAGACGCTTGTTTAAAGAGCACCGGGCCCACAAAACATGGCTTATGACCAGTCGTACTTTTCTTATGCAATCAGATGCACAGGCAAGGCAAATGGGTGTCGGTGCTGTTTGAAGGAAGATCGAGATCGATGATGACAAGAAGTTGTACCCTTTGTTTGACAAGCGCATGGCACAGGAGGCATGCAGCAGTTCAATTCAATCGTATTTGTGAGCGTTTTTGGCTAAGCAGAAGCAGAATCATGAATAAGGATGAATTACTTAAATAATGCAGATGCAAGCTAATGTTTGTTCCAAGACAACGGGGAATTTGCTTCCTGTCTCGAAACATTCGCTGCTTGGCAAGGTGTCAGGCGACTCTCTTGGTGATGAGTTCAAGGCTGGCTAGGGAGCTTGGTCGGACTCATCAAGAGAGACACTCAGTGTGAGAGATACCTTAGTGGAGAGCACACAGGCAGAAGGGCTTGAAAGGAGGACCCCATTTGAGGGATGTGAGCTTGATCCAAAGTAGGCCAGTTGTTTAGCGATGTGGAGTGGGTGTGTTTGAGAGGACACTTATGCAGTTGATGTTCTACTTCACTATTGACACGTGCCTGGGAGAAGGTTGCAGAGACGACCCCAAAACTGTTAAAACTGTGACACCGAACACACACACAGAGAAGAGGTTCGAGATGAAGAATTCAAAACACAAAAATACTCAAAATAAAAACAAACACACAAAACAAACCTAGACTCAGCCCAAAACCAGAACTCAAGACCAAACACAAAAACACACTCAACTGGAGACTCAAGTAGCAGAAGGTTGAACGGAGGAAAAAAACACAAATCCGGACTCAGCAACAGAGAATTTGAGTCTGGATTTGAGTCTGGATTTGGGTCTGGATTTGAGTCTGGGTTTGAGTCAGTTTGTTTTTTTGAGTCTGGATTTGAGTCTGGGTTTGAGTCGGGATTTGTTTTTTTCTAAGGGAAAACGCAGGTTCCAGCCCACCGTAGCCTAGCCCCCAGAAAGCAGCAGGTGACTCAACACCAAACTCAAACTGGATCTCAAGCACTTGAAACCAACACCAGACTAAACAAATAATCCGCATAGAAACATATACAGTAGAAATCAGAAAAAAAACTCGCATGGAATTTCACGATGGCAGAAGGTTGAACAGAGGAAAAACAGCAAATCCGGACTCAGCAACAGAGAATTTGAGTCTGGATTTGAGTCAGTCTGTTTTTTTGAGTCTGGATTTGAGTCTGGGTTTGAGTCTGGATTTGAGTCTTGTTTTGTGTTTTTTTGAGTCCTGTCCTAAGTAGACCTGTTCTCCTGAGTGTGGATTTGTTTTTCCTATTTGTTTATTTTTTGAATATTTTTTGTTTTTTAATGTTTCAAGGATTTTGGCTCTGTGTTTTTTTCGTCGGGGTGGTCAAACCATGGTTTTAGTCGGGACTACAACCCCCTCTCTGTGTGTTGAGTTCGGGTTCACAACGTTAAAGAGAACATTTGCAAGAGAGATAGATGCCAGCTCGGCCAGCTTGTCCTGGAGTTCCTCCAGAGAGGGGAGCTCAAAGACCTTTCACCAAGCTGCACGGGGCCAGGGCTACATCTTCCGCATTGGTGGTGGCAACGACAAGCAGGAGGGGTGATAAGATTTGAAGAGTACTCGATCACACTTTTTTGGTGCTTTTTTGTTGTCGCTGACACATCCAGATAATGATACATGTCATGTAATTGATTTTTGATATCCAGAGCACGGATGAGCATGGGTTGGTGTCCATGGCGTGGGTACTACGCCCTCCTATCGTTTGTCTTTTGCTTTTCACTCTAAAGGATGAAGAGCTAGGAGGGCGGTTCTGCCAAACTGAAATTTTTCATATTTCTTCTGCATGGAGGTGAGGTGTTTTTCTCTTCTTTGCATGCCAGGGCTTCCCAATGAAGCAGGGTGTGCTCGTCAACCATCGAGTTCGCCTCCTGTTCAAGAAGGCGACTGAGCACCGTGATGGAAGATGGTGGAAGTATAATCAGAGCCATGCAGGGAGAGGGAAGGACCACCAAGCGACTTGTGATTTTGTTCGACCTTGCTCAGCTAACGAGATCAAGTAAATGGAGTTCCAGATCCGAGCCGCCTTTTTGTTTGGATTCCATGCCCACATTTGTCGATGCCGGCAGGGCATGAGCTGCTACCGTGAGCGCCGCAAGGGCTGCCGCAAGCGCAAGTCTGTGCGAGGTGTGCAATGACGCGAGTCCCACAAGTCGTGTGAGTCATTCAGGTCAAGCAGTCCTCGCATGTGTGATCACCATCCACTTGCGACTGTAGTGGGCTTTCTTCAAAAGGGAGACATCCATTTGGTTGATCCACCTTTCCCTTGACTTAGTGACCTACTAAGACCTCACACTTGTTGTCCTGTCTCACATCATACTTAAGAATCGTGTTGGCAGACGAAGGGGTTTGGACGAGCTTTGAAGGCTGCATCGTTGGCCCTGACCTTGCTGTGCTCCACTTGGCTGCTTGGCTTGAAGAGATTCATGTTGGCAAATATTAGACCCTACAGTGTCCTACCGTGCTCCATGGCGCTCGGTGGCTCCAGTCACCTTAAGGTGGTCGTGAAGAAGGGTGAGCAAGACATCCCCGGCCTCACTGAGACTTGGCGAGACTCCATAATTTGCAGCACGACTTGAACAGCAGACGGCGTGACGGGGACTCTAGAAGCTTTTAAGTTGTCAAGATTTTTCCAGGTTTCTTGTTCAAGGTTGAGTTTGAAACCTCACAGGTATGAGATCTCCATGTCAATATCCTCTATGAGATCACAGGTGTCAACCCCTCCTATAAAACGTTTCATGCCCCTGCTGAGGGGGGAGTTGGTCCTTGATTTTATAGAGTCATAGAGAAAACCGCTCGTTTGAAATGCTTTTATGCATCTTGTATGCTTCTGTGATGGCTCATGAACCAGCCGCATACACAACCATGATATTTCCATATATCCACACAAAGGTACAGTGATAGCAGATACGCACCATAGACATGCTCCAAGATCAGTGCCGCAAACGCACTAGAGTGTGTCAATTTGGTTGCTCACTGTTTTTGTTTGGCCAGCCATGCAGAGGTGTAAATGGGTTTATGGTGCTTGATGGCGCTTGGTTTGTGACGTGGGGGTTTGTCATGTTATGGAATTACACTTGAGGTGGGGTACCCGCATTCGATGTGCAATAGGGGGTGGGACCACCATTTTATATCTATAAAATGGGTGGCTGGACTCCCCCACCTGAATTGACACCGGGATGGTATGAGTATGATTGAGTAAATTGAGTATGAACCTTTTTTGAAGACTCTAATGCACACTAGTGTTGGACCAATGCTCCAGTGCGAGTGTGCCTCAGGACGACAACAAGCCCAGACGATTGGGACCAAAGAGGGTGCGGTGGCCTAGAGTTCAGCCCAAAACAGAACGCTGGTTTTGGCTTACTCCCATGTAATTGAACTAAAGGCGGCTGTAGACGCATTGAAGCTATGTTGAGTGCTCTTTTGATGAAAGCATGTGTCCTGTGAGGCCTCCAAGATTCGGAAGCTTTTCGGCTTGGAGAAGAAGGAGTCGAATTGTGATGCTGGATTTTCATGGGTTTTGTAAGGGTTTGTAATCTTGCTTTCCACTTGGGCCTCAATGTCAATTCTTGTTTTGCTTTGAGAAGGCTGAAGGATCTCAAAGGTCTCCGTTTGCCCTTCATGGTGTAGTGTGGGCTTTGCATGTGCAAGGACGACGTGCGCCAGTTTGTGGTGCGAAGAGAGGTGAAGGAGGGCAAGAAGAGCAAGGCAGACGAGCAAGCTGTTCGTTCTCCAAGTTCTCTTCTCCTTCCAAAGCTCCTAGCGGTCCTAGCAAGCCTAGCAAGTCAACCACAAAGTCTCAGAGGCAGGACCCCAGGACTCACAATTTGGTCTGGCACCCTTTGTGTTTCAAAATTCTGGACCGAGTCGATCAAGCTGACAGGCCCCGAAGATCCAGCGCTTGATCACTCCTCAGCTCCTGCAGCGAAAGCGCTACTTCAAGGCGCTCTGCTCTGACTTGTGTTTCTGTGTTTCGGAACTTTCACCACCTGAATAGAAAGGAGAGATATCTATCTATATATATATATAAATCTATATATAAATCGCTGCGCGACTGCGAGGCCCTCACCCGCAAGCGCATGGAAGCTGGCAAGGAGGCCAAGGCAGCCTACCAGAAGCGCCTCTCTGAGTACCACCATGAGCAGAAGGAGAAGCGGGCAGCAGAGCTGCAGAAGAAGAAGGCGCCTTGGCAACAGAGACACCACACACACACACACACCCTTTCATTGTTTTCTCAACTTACTGTAGTTCAGGAATTGGCTGGTGGAGCTGCGACGAGAACTGGGGGCATCTAATAATTACTTTGGGAACTCAGCAATCTCACGCAGCACAGGAGTTGACACATAGGTTGGAGGCCATCGCTACTAGGGTGGAGGCCATCGCTCTTAGTCTATATAGTAAACTCATAGAGTCCCATATGGAGTCCGCCGTCAGTTCTTGTTTGACGCAAGCGTCTCTTTCCTAGGCCAAGAAGGGCTCCATGGAGTGAGAGAAGATTATCGAGTGACCAACGACCTGCCGCGGGAAAAGTTGACTGTTTTGGTCGCAGTCACACTGATTCACTCTACTACTACTACTACTACTACTACTACTATATCATACTTTACATGTTGGAACAAGTTGGCACTATGAACAACCAACAGGTTCTTTTGGCATGCATTACTGAGTCAACATCTTTACAATACCCTGCTGACCCCTGCTGTGCTGAACGAGCCCCGAGAAACCAGGTTTGCCACACGATGTAATGATGCAGAATCCCGTTGCTTACTTGCCTGCCTGCCTGCCGCATTCCGCTTTATTTGTACCGTCTATTTTAACATACATGAACATCGTGCTTTCAGCTTGGCTAGATCCAGCTGTTTTTCAACTTTGAAGGCGGGTCGGCTCATCGGGTGCAGAAGTTGACCGAGGCAAACTCTGGGATTCGTGGGCGTTCGGAGATGTTTGGAGAAACGGTCTGGAAAGTGGTGTTGCCAGATTTTTGGGTAGTACAAGATCAAGCTGTATTCTTCATACTACTTATCTACTTGGTGACGAGCAGCGTTCTTCTGACTAGTAACAGGCGCTAGTGATGCCCAGGGAACTTCAGGTCCTTTGAACGGGGTGTTACTTGTAAACAGCTCAACACTCTGGACAGGTTTTAAGATCCCTGAGATAGCTTTAATATTGCCTTGCCAGTGTGATCTGCCTTTGCGTACTTCAATCTGTTGTTTGACTTTTCACCATGCAGCCGTGCTCAGGTAGACTGGACTTCACAGGTCGACGTGTGATGCACCCCAGTCAAGCATTGAGAACGGAATGATGATGCCTGGTTTCCACATGCATGTGCGAGGGAGTTGAAGGAGACAGGAACCTCAGGGTGATTTGGTAAGCTTTGAAGTCGGAAAACGGATCCTCTGTGCCAAAGGCCGCAGACATATCAGCGTGCTGCTGTACGTATTGTCTTGCTCTCAGAGTGGGCAAGGCGGAAACGCGGTGCCTGTCACCATGTCGTTGCGGGGCACACCAAGGCGGAAACGCATCGAAGGGGCATTACCTTGAAGCAGCTAGAGGCATGTGGTTCTTAGCTTGCAAAAGTGCAGAAGATCTTACATCAAGTCAGGAGTGTTGAAGATGTTGGGAGATGATCCTTTGAGGAATGTTTCGTGCGATGTGGGCGGGTGTACTGCACTTGTCCAGTTCTCCGGCTTTGGAGTCAGAGCCAAGCTCTTTTTCTTTGGTATGCTTGAGTTAGCATTCCATCCTGCCTTGCTTGGGTACCTTGGCTCAGGCCCGCCAGGATTCAGAAGGGACAGACAGTGAAAAGTCACTGAGACAGGATGAGACAGGAACAAATGGAAGTTCCATGACTGTGAAGCTCTTCATGCATAAATAGGGACCAATTCAGATCCAATTGAGCCTCAGCTCTCCAGAGTCAGGATGCGAAGGGCTCCTTTAAATCGCCTTTGCCTTTGTCGTGACGTTTCTGTTCGCCGCGTTAGCCGCTGTCCGGTTTTGACGCCATGGGACACGGGCACTCTTCCGAGTTGCATCCCTTAAACATCTTGGCTTTTTGTGATTGGCAGCACCGGGGTATTTGTACCCAGTTGAGCCGTGCTCTCCGATCCTCTTTGCAACTGACAGAGGAGAACCAAGGACGCTTGGCCTTCGATCAAATAAAATACAATAAAATAAATTAAGGGCTGACGCCCCGTGCCCGCCGACCCCTGTCAGATCGCGTGCGCAGCCGTGGTGGTAGTAGTAGTAGTAGTCGTCGTAGTCGTAGTGGTAGTGGTAGTGGTAGTGGTACTAGTGACAGGAGTCGTCAGGCCGTGGGGCCCATCCCTCAATTTGGACCGGACCGGGCCGTTTATAGTCAAGTTAAATATAGTTAAATCGGTTTATACCCTCGCTGTCCCGTGATGGTTTTCGCCTTTGCCAAAGACAATGCAACCCCACCGTCTGAATTTTTTTCCGGGGGCCCGTGCCGGCTCGCAACCCGCGAGGTCCCGGGTTCGACTCCTCCCTGCGCTTCGTTCGGGCGGTCTTAGTGGTGCGGTTTCCTTTTCGAACGTCCTTTTCGATCGCTCCCTTCGCCACAGCTTTAACCAATCTAATTTCGAACCAAAAATGATCCCAAAATTGCCCTCAACGCCGTTTTGCGGGTGGCTAACGTCACCTTTGGGCGGCGGTGGCAGTAGTAGCTAACAAACGGTCGAATAATGAACATCATTTCCGAAAGATGACTTTTTCCTTTAAACGCAGATTACTGGAGTCATTTGGTTCTGGGGTTTGCCCCCTTGCCTTGGGCTTTCTCTCGAAGGTTGTGCCCGGGGTCGACCACCCGGGGTTACCCCCAAATGGGTTCCCCCCCACGTTTCGGGGCAAAGGGGTAAACCCAACAATAGATTTTAATTGGGGTTGGATCAAAATTTGGTGGGCGTGGAAACGTGATGTTTTGCTTTTGCCAGGGGTTTACCCCCGATGCCTGGGTTTTTTTCCCCCCCGTGTCTCGGGCCTTTCCCCCCGTTGCCTGTTGGTCAGCCTTGTCCGAAGATGATAACAGTTGTCGTCGTCGAAGCAGCTTGGCCCGTGCTTTTTGGAAAAAGACTTTCGCTCTTAATTAAGCGCAATTGGACAGGATTCTTTGGCGCGCTCCCCCAACGGCAGGGGTCGGCGGATAAGTCTTACTCAATAGGCATTTCAGAACGGCTTCCCAAACGTTCTTGCAAGATGTTTTCACGTGCTGCATGTGTGACTTATAGGCGTGAACTTTGGTAGCATTGATTGCGCTCAAAGGCCAGGGACAATTTGTTCGCAGCCTGAAATTATTTGAAACTTCGAATTTTCCTTCAGAGGAACAAAGATTCGGCTCTTTGCACTGTGCAAGGATATTGGCGTTTCCTTTGCGAACGACTGGCCGAAGAACATGACATCTATGTGCCCCGCTTTGTTGAAAACGGTTGCCCGATAGCGAAGGACTGGCGAGCGCTCTTTTTGGAGCTCAATGCCGTCAAGGACGGGTGTTCCGCAAGAGCCGGGCCACAGCTGTAGCTGCAACAAATTTTCTTCAGAATCAGAAATCCTCACAAAGCAGAAAAGGTACTTGCAGTGGCAGTGGCTTGCAGATTCGTAGAGATGTAGCGACAGACGCTTGGTTGGAGATCTTCCTAGGTTTGCAAAAGTCGTTTCTTTTTGAAGCGATGTGCTGCACACTCTCCTGACTACACTGGGGGATATCAAACATCGTTCGCTTCCCTCAGCGGGCAGGAGGCAGCTGATGGAAAAAGTGTTGAGAAGAGCGAGGACGGACTATGACTACTCTGACTCTTGTGAAGTGTAAGCACTCAAAGACTCTTTCCTGCTCTGGAGAATGCTCTCCAGTAGCCTCTCGCTTTTTGCATCTCTGCACTGCTTCCATGGAAGGACTTCAAGATCGGCGTGGCAGCCAGATTCCGCCCATCCATGGCGACCAGTGACATGGCCGAGGAGGATGGAGTGGTTTTGCCACTGCATCAGAAGGTTCAGCTCGTGAGGAGACAGCTCGGCTGTACTTCCAAGGAGGCAGTGAGCCTCATCATGCAGAAGCAGCAGCGTTTGAAGGGAAAAGTGGCCATTGAGTCGAGTGAAGGCATCTTCCAACCCTGCCTTTCACCTGGCTACGACAAGGAAAATCGCCAGCAAAATACTGATATGATCATGACCAATGAGAAGAAGGTCGAGGCTGGCCACGGGCCACGGGCCAAAGAGGCAGACGAGTTGAATGATTTTGATGTGTTTTTCAATAAACATCTACGAACCAAATCATTAGTGCGAGCGCTTCCCTGAAGAAGCGTGAGATCCTGCGTCCAGTTATTAGAAGCTAACTTAAGCTAGTAGCTACCTCTTCTACCCCTGTTCTAGCGGCCTACCCCCCCAATGAAAACTTCGAATGAACACGTCCAAAGCATCTTTCTCCTTCGCTGCTCAAAGGAGATCGATGAAGTGAACATTGATGCACGCTGCTCGATCCTTTCGGTCCAGGAAGAGAAGGCATCAGTTCCAGAGCTGAATTTAGAAGCACCACCAGTTCCACCATAAATCCCTTTTGAGCATGTTTTTCAATTTTTTGCAGTTTGATTCTAATGGACTTTGACGACGGAATGTGCAGGGCATTGCTAGAATCTGCGGCGCCTCCATCCTGCGTTTTGCACGCAAAGAGCATCACGGGGAAGTATGTTCCTTTTTTCATACCCTGTGATGTCCAGAGGTGCTTGCAGTGACAAAGAACAGCGGGCTGCACGATTTTGCTTTCGACAAAGTCTTTGCAGAGCGCACTTTGCAACCACATGTCTACGAAGAGGCAGCCCGTCGTTTGGTCATGGAGTTTCTGAATGGCACTAGCGCCAGCATCATTTGCAGCTTGGACTACTCATGCATAGACATTGTGTCTTTTGTCTCAGTAGTCTTTGAAGTAGAAATCCAAGTTTGGAGCTCACAGCCTGGAATAAAGACTCGAAAATCTACTGTAATTCACAAATTAACAACTGACGTTGACCAACATGAGCTTTGTACCTTCTGCCGCAGTGCCTCTCTTTGTCACTCCCGCAGCAGCCCCGATTGAGCCCAGGCTACGGCCAGACAGCGAGCGGGAAAACCCACACGATGTTTGGACCACCAGGACAGGCAAGTGAAGAGCTTCAGGGCCTGGTGCCAAGGACGGATCAATTTGCGGAAGAGATATGTCAGAGAGACCGTGACATGTTGAAACCTTAAAGTACAGTGATCTAGCTACAGTCTCTCTTGAGATGCATTCTAAATATCATTCCAAATGTCAATTCCACCACCCACTTCTCAATCTGAACCTCTATGAGCAGTCCAAGAACATCCAAGAAATATTGTCATCCTTTGTCGAGAGAGTATATATATATATATACATAGCATGACCTTGGTTCAAAAGTCTAGGAACCAAATGAATAGTGCGAGCGCTTCCTTGAGGAAGCGCAAGCTATCCCGTGCCCAGTTACTGGTAGCTTACTTAGCCCTTACTTAATCAAGTAGGCGCCTACTTAATTACTGTAATAGTAAGGAGGGGCAGGGCCACGGGCCAAAAATAAGAACATCGCCTAACCTGAGGACTTGCGCTGAGGTTTTGCAGGCTGTGGAGCGCTGGAGCTCTCGAGGGCTTCAAGTTCAGCTGAGTGCCAGCTATGTGGAGCTTTTTGGGAGCGAGGCCCGAGGGAAGAGACGAAGAGACGATCGAACATTGTGAGATGCTGTGAAGATGATTGACGTAAGGTGTCACAGCATCCTACAGCTCCCAATGATAGCAACGACGTGTGTGTCATAGAATGACCTAGTCTGACAAAAGAGGCAAATGGGTCACAGCTAATTTATGCTAATTTGACGTCTGCCGAAAGTAGGTTGGAGCCAGGATGCAGATGGACAATGTTTGACATGTTGGCAAATTTATTTGTTTCTCTCTGGCCGTAGGCCATGTCCTTGCTCCGCAAGTGAAATCCGTCTCTCAGGTCTCAGACCTCCTCCGTGAAGGCCGTGTGGTGGGTCAACACCGAGAGGGCCGATACTCTGCGGTGCGTGCCACTGATAGGGTGGGGCATCGTTACGTCTTGGATGGGCATCTTGGCACCGCGTAGCACCTTTTATGACTGTTTTTTTTGAAAGATCTTTTTTCCCTTTCCATTTCAATTCTAAATTTGCTAATTTTACAAACAACACCACTAAATGATCAGCAACATTTGTGATGTCAAAGGTCAAACTTGTCATCATGTAGTCCCAGTTGCTCTTCTGCCCAGGCACACGGAGTGGCACATCCAGTCACTGGAGGACGAGCAAGAACTGTCTCCGAATGTGATTTGGGTGTGCTATTTTCAAGTTCCAACATGCTGATCAAGATTCGTCGGATTTGTGGGTGCGGAACTTCATGTGAAATCCGACCCTTCACATCAGGAGTTGCAGGAGCTCCTCGAGCATGGTGATGCCGCCAAGCGACGTGCTGCCACTGCCATGAATGAACGTTCCACCCGAGCGCATACGGTCTTTGTGCTGTCACTCCAGGCGTGGTTTGCACAATATGCGGAAGCGCAAAGCCTGGAAAAGCTCACTGTACTGTAGGGCTAGAATGCCAAAGGACAAAAGGCGACATGAGTCTTGAGAAGGATGTTTCATGATGTGTCAAAACTTCACACTTGTTTACACCTAGCTAGAATGCCTCAATCGCTCATGTCAGCAAGCTCGCAGGTCACATCCGGAGACAAGCATGCCCGCCAGAGCCGGTTCTATTTTGCAGATCTTGGTGGCTCTGAGCAGCTTTCCAAGAGCAAAGTGGATGCCGAAACGAAGGCAAAAGTGCTTGTGCCTTGGTTGGAAAATCACCGGAGAAACCATCAGAGAAAGTGGCTGATCGTAGTGCTTCTCCTTTCCTTGCACATTCGGAGGGCAGAGAGCCCGGTGTAGTCCAAAGCGGAAGGCCGCAAAAAGTTAAAGTTGAAGCCACAGTGCTCAAGTGAAAAAGAGGGAAGGCGTGGCTGGATATAGAGCTTTATCTAAGGTTGTGGGTGGCGAAGAGCAGAGCCGATTGAGCTGGCAAGAGTACAATCGGCATCGGCAGAGAGTGTATGAGACGCTGAACATCAACAAGGGCTTATTCTCTTTGAAGCGAGTCATTGAAGCTTTGCATCAACGCTGCAGGATGGCTCAGGAAGGTGTGCCTAGCCATGCGCTACCATACGTCCCCTACCAGGACTCCAAGCTTACAATGCTTTTGCAAGAAGCTCTCGGAGGTTCAGCACGGACCCTGATCATCACCACCGTCACTATGGATCCAACTCATGCAGAGGAGTCGCTGCAGACCTTGCGCTTTGCAGAGACCTGTGCCCAAGTGCAGAAACGACGTGAGGGAGATCAAGCTGCATCGATTATTGTCGCCCTGGACAAGATTGAGCAAGAGATCCAAGCTTTGCAACAGGTGATCGCCCGCAAGGAGAGGTGGGAGACACGACTCTTGCGGCGACAGGATCGTGATACAGTGGCTGGTGCCTTTGGTGAGGGCACGATGGTAGAGCGAATTGAAGTCGTGCCGACAAGTGTTTTGGTCGGAGCTGAGGTGGAACGCGAACAGCTTGAGGCTTTGCTGCACCGCCAGGCTGAACTCAAAGGGCTTTCCTCCGGCATCTCAGCTTTCGGCAAGGACTACCGCAGCATGCGGGATGAAGCGACCAAGGGTGCTGTGGATGGTGGCCGAGGCGAAGATTTCCGTGCTGGTCACTTCAGTTCTCGAACCAAGGCAAAAGACTTTGAAGATGAAGCGGTCTTAGCAGATGCCCTGCGCTTCTTCTTCCGAAGCTGTCAACAAGCTGAAGCGGTCTTTGGCGAGCTGAAAGCCAGGACAAGGCTTCAAAGGAACGAGATCCCTGAAGGTTATCACAAGGCGGCGAAAACCATGCGCCAGCTCTGGGAGGATCAGTTGGCCCAGGGTCACGAGACGAGAAGCTTCGGGAAGGCCATGCTGGATCGTTGTACAGCATGGAGAGCAGCTTTCAAGGTGGACACATCCAGCAGAGATGCAGCTCTCTCCAAACTGATCCACGAGTGTGGCCTTCAGGTGGAGTGAGTTCTGAAGATTCTGAAAGAAGCAGTTCTGCGGACCAATCTCTGAGGCATTTCTATGTGCAGTCTAGACATGCTGATTCAATTTAGGCCTGTAGACACTGTAGGGAGCACATGATTGTCCACACTTCCATCGTGAACTTTTCCACGGAGTTTTCAAATCAATTGTGCTTCCTCGACTCAGGCCGCATGTCCGCGCTTTTTCACTCTCGCCACCATAGTTTGTGCATAGATTGCTGGACTGCATTTGAGAAGACTTGAGGAATGACGGGCAGTCAACAAAATAGTGCTGCTTTATGTTGTTCCGTTTTGTACATGCCAAGATCGCATCGGATTTGTACTGATTTCTGTATTTTTGTGATTTGTCGCTGAGCAGGTTTTCACGGAGTTGGTCGACAAGGTGCTGGAGTTGATTGAGGCAGGTTTGTTTGTTGATGGTCGAGACGCGCATTGACTTTGACAGTCGATTTCATCCTATTTCATTTGATTGCTCAGAGAAAGGTGGAAGAGCCCAATGCTTCGACGGATCTGGGACGTTTGACCATGGAAAGCTCGGAACCCAGAGTCGTCAGATTTAGGCTTTGGACCGTCGATGTCCTTGGCCATGCGACACGCACATTGCCATTTCGCGAATACAAAGCCCCTGCACGCTCGGGGAAGTTCTTCAAGATAGCAGTAGCGGTTGAGCTGCCCGCCTCAACCCCCCTGGTTCAATTTGAGATATATCATTTTAGTTTTAGTGATTATATATATATAGATAGCTTGTTGCGTAAGTCAAACCCTGGTGCACGCAAGCTTGCGTATTTTTCTTGGGTAAAGCTCAACCAGGAATCGCACAGGTGTAAGCTGCAGGTGTGCTTGAGTAAGCTAGGCAGCTAGGCATAAGCTGCAGCGTAAGCCAAATCTATAAAATACGACATAGGCAGGCTCATGAGCTGTTGAGAACGGAACAAAGAAGCTACTAGGAGCAAAGGGCATCGCTACTAGGAGCAAGGACGCTACTAGGCGCTCCTGGCATTACTACTAGGAGCAAGAAGCTATTAGAAACAATCAATGAAATACAAATAGAATTAACATAGAATTAAGTAGGCGATTCTGTGACGCTGTCTGAGATGTGAACCTGTACCACCTGAACGAGCTGTTTGTGCTGCGCCTCACGAAAAAGGAGGAGCAATCGCGGGTGTGACGTTGCGAGCCCGCTCGTGTGTTTTGTAGTTCATTTGTTCATTTGTGTTTGACATACTGTTTTGTATCCACTGGTATCATTGATATCCCTTTCTATCAATTGGTTGGTTGTATTGATTGATGATTCTTCTTGATTTCGTCCTGAGGGTGGTTTCCATCCCAGCCATGGCCACAGGGTGGTTGGATAGATACACACACACAGCCCTACAATAGGAAGTCTAGTGAGTCCTGTTTTGCCAGACGTCAGATGAGGGTTGTCTGGTGCCTGTTCAGCTCCTAAAGCCAGAAATAGCTTGCAGGTCTGTAGCTTTACAGAGCTGGTCATGGATGCAGCACAGGCGGAGAAAGGGCTGGATCTGGATCGGATTGCCAAGATGAAAGGCATGCAGGGATAAGTATGGCATATTCATGTGAACAAGAAGAACACTCATTGCGGTGGGACTGGCGGCTTCTATGGAAGAGAGACTGGAGTTGGAGGACCCTGTGTGGTTTGTATCCCACTGGTGGGGTACTCCATGGCGAGATAGCCAGACACCGAGATTCTTCAGCGGTCTCGATTTGCTGGGAAGTTGCTCAGTTATCTTGGTGCAGGAAATGGAAAACAACACAGAAAAGACATGAGAGCACATCTATATATGTAAAGTAACATAGTCTAAGCCAAGGATAGACGAGGTGCCAATGCCTAGGGATGCCTACAGGTGACAGCTTAGGCTTAGTCTTTAGTAACGCTTCTAGTCGTCGTGTTGCCGAGGTCTGGACATGTTGAGCTTCCACTCCAAGGCTGGCTTATGGGCGTGGGTGGACGATGGCCTCAATCCTCAATGTCAATGACTCAGCTCCTATTGATAAATCATGCACAGTTTATGCAAAGTTTGGCTTTGCACAAGCAAACATGGCATTCTCGAAGGAACTTTTCCTTGGTCGGAAGAATGGAATTTTCATCAGCTTCCATTATTGCTTCAAACAGTTTGGAGACTTGTTGCAGATTACATCTTTGCAGAGAGCTGTAGTGGTTGACGAAGTACAGGTGTCTCATGGCTACTGGAACCGCAACAAACCAGCAGTTAAACAGAACATGACAGGAGCATCAGCTGCTGGATGACAGTCCTTACTGGATCTGCACCTTTGCGAACAACCAGCACAACTTAGAGGACAGTGAGATCCTTCGCTCCTCACTTGGTCTGGTTGCCTGTTTCCTGTTGTTGTAGTCATTTTAGTCACACTGAACCTCTCGCTTTGGGGACTGAGCATAGTCTGCTGCATGCTAGCAAGTTATGTTTGACATTGTGATACTGACTGGTGAGACTATGGACTATGATTATTTCAGGGAGTGTAATGACGCGCAAATACTCATGAAAGTCGAACACCACCTGTTTGTAGAGGAACATGGTTATTTCAGGCACCATTTTGCACTTCCATGATTGGTCCAGGGCAGTGTATCAAGAGCACATTGAACACAAGTGTTCTGTACCGGCGCAGCCTGCAGCGTGGAGGAGCTCAACACCTCTGACCTGTTGGACACACCTTTTGTGCGTGCGATCATGAGCTCCAGTTGTATGGGAACGGCCAGGGGCTGAAGCGGCCACCGGCCGCAAGGATCTGCGCTTTAAGGCTAGGAAATAATGACTGCCTTTCAGCAAAGATGTGATGAAAGGAAGCAGCCTTTCAAACTTTCTGCATACAAAGGGCTGATCATTGGTTGAGAGCTAAGGTGATGTTGATGAGACGCAGCCTCAGAGGTATTGGACACTGATTCTCCAGATCTAGGACCTAGGACCTAGGATGTCAACACACATGGATGATAGCCCTTCGTGTGAAAAGATTGCCAGCCCATTTCCTCGAGTCCGGCCTTTCCCAGATGAGAATGCGGAGCCGTTTCGGAGAACCTGGTGCACGTGAGAGACCTGGTGGATTCATCGTAATCATTCATAACAAGGCAAATTTGAGAGATTCTCACCCTTGTTGAGTTCACTACGCTTTCATGCCAACTGTCACACACACTTATTATGGATATGCGTACTGACTCGACAGCGGTGCCACACGCCGGCCTGAGTGAAAACCTAAGGAACCAGGACAGGTGTCAGTAAGTGGAGGCCCTTACTGCAAGGTTGGAGGCCAGCAAGACTCAAAACACTGCAAGGTTGGAGGCCAGCAAGACTCAAAACACGAAACGCGAGTAGCGATTAGTAACAGAACCACATGAACCACCATGAAAGCAAACCACAGCGAGAACAACAGGTAACCAGTTGGCAGGTACGTTTGCACGGACCCCAGAGGAGGTCTTCGTTGGCCACCGCTCCTCCCCCAATCCCCCTGCTCCAAACCTAAAGGTTCCCTTTGATTCCAAGGGCTACACACACACGCCTCCCCGAAGGGAGGCATGTGTGGCCTCCATCCTGCCCGGAAAGGAGGCAAGGCACATGTGCACGCAAAAGGGACAGATGAAAATGAAAAGGACGAGACAGACAAAGGTGTGTGTGGTTGCCGATGAAGAAGAACCAAGTGAAGAGGGACAACCGATGAACCAAACCTCATTGTAACGAACCTGGGCCACCTGAACCTCGATGTAAGTAGAGTACGCGTGCGTGTATGTGTGCAAACTAAGGTCCGGACGATAGTACGCGCAAGAGAAAGAAAGGATGAGGATGAAGAGACATGAAGACAGAAAGACATGAAAGAAAAGAAGGAAAAACGTCTGTGGGGGCCGATGAAAGGGGAACCAAATGAACGGGGACAAACCGATGACAGTCCAAACCTCATTAGAAAAACTTGTTGCAGAAGCCTAGTTTGCTTGTAAACACGCCGCGCGCGAGGAAAGAGGGGGGAGGGGAGGAAGAAAAGAGAGGGAAAGAAAGAAGGAAACAAAGGTGCTCCCAGCTACGACACAAGCGTCCAAGGACACACCAAAAAGGAAGGGGTCCCAGCTATGACGAAAGCATCCAGGGGCACCCAAGGAAGCGGGTGAAGATAGGAAAGAGAGAAGGAAAGAAAGAGAGAGGGAGAGAAAGGGAGAGGAGAGAAAGGAAGGTGTTCCCAGCTACGAACAATCGTCCAGGGACACACCAAAGAAAGAGAGGGGAGATCCTGAGTATTCCATTCAGGAAAACACCAGAAAGCAAAGAAAGAAAGGGGGAAGGGAAGGGGGAGGAGGGGGGACTAAGTGCTTGACAGGTTCCAATGAACCTTAAACTTGCTTTGACCGCTATGGTCACCTTGTGCCCTGCCGAAATGGCTGGCTGCTTTGACCGCTGCGGTCACGTGAAGGCATGAGCCAGCTTGGAATTCCAAAAATGAGACAAAAATGTGAGTTCTTGTGGCATGAGCCAGCTACTGTCCGCTCCGGACACCTACGTTCCCAAAGCCGGGGAACATGGACAGACACCCCTTCGACGGGTCCACGGGAGGCACTCTACGGGCTCATCCCGGGTTGGCGCGAGGCCAAACACACTTATTATGGATATGCGTACTGACTCGACAGCGGTGCCACACGCCGGCCTGAGTGAAAACCTAAGGAACCAGGACAGGTGTCAGTAAGTGGAGGCCCTTACTGCAAGGTTGGAGGCCAGCAAGACTCAAAACACTGCAAGGTTGGAGGCCAGCAAGACTCAAAACACGAAACGCGAGTAGCGATTAGTAACAGACCCACATGAACCACCATGAAAGCAAACCACAGCGAGAACAACAGGTAACCAGTTTGGCAGGTACGTTTGCGCGGACCCCAGAGGAGGTCTTCGTTGGCCACCGCTCCTCCCCCAATCCCCCTGCTCCAAACCTAAAGGTTCCCTTTGATTCCAAGGGTTACACACACACACATTGTTGTTGCCTCGCATCACAAAAGCTTTACTGCGAGCCACTTGTTTTGTCGTGTTTCTTTTTGTTTGACCTGATGTCCAATCTATTGTATGTGGAATTGTGCGCATGGTGCGGATACCAAGGCTAGAGAACTTCATCAGTACCCAGCACGTTAAGACAAAGCCGGATGCTGAAACAGCACAAGAGTTGCACTGTTTTGAAGGAGAAGCTCGGTGCGCATTCCAGCTAAGGCCAAGACAACATCTATTCGAGGTAGCAGCAGTTGTGCTGGAAACCCAAAACAAGATTCAGGAGTTGCGCAAGCTGAGCAGTAGTGGAATCAGCTGCAGAAGCCACAAACAGCAGCCACCAGCTCCAGCCGCATTCTAAGAAATCGCTGACTGAGGCAAGAAGGCTGGCAGAAGATAATGGATGGAGATAAAGAAGTCAGGGCTGGGCACTTGGCGAAAACTTTCAGCATGTTCAGCTTTTAATGGCAGCCCCTGAATCCTTTGCAGCATTCCTACAGCAAGAAGCTTTTCTTGGGCACCTGCAGGTTTAGAATCAAGGTGCCCTATTTGTAGCATACATCAGATTCAAAGTGCTTTAAAGTGCACAATTATATATTAATTACTGTATGAACCTCGACCTTCGTTCCGGCCGCAGCTTCAAAGGACTCAAGCTTCGCATGCCCCATCGGCTAGCCGTCGGAGCGGCCGGCGGTACCGCATCGACTCTTCTTCTTACCCTCGCACAGGGTTTTCTTGGTACCCCAGGTCCCTTTCCGCTGGCCGAGGATCTCTGTACTTGTCCAGACTTAGGGTGGGACTTCCCCCTGCGTGATTTGCACAACCCAGAGATCTTCTTTGCTGGATTGCTTTGTGGTCTTTTGGCGGGGCCGCTGTTGGATCTAGCAGTGCTTTTGAGAGACAGGTGGAGGCGACTGATCTTCAGCTGCTTGACTGGAGGGCGGGCCGGTAGATCTTTTTATCGTGTCCTTTATGAGTGAACAGCTGCGATCCTCTTTGAGTGAAGTCAGGGAAGATCTAGACCGGGTGTCTCAGCTTGTTCAGTTGCTCACTGAGAAGGTTCGCGCCTTGGAATTGGAAGCAGAAGAGAGCAGTTTTTCATTTGTTTCAAGCCCCGGAATCCATCCCGGTGCATACCCCCAGAGGGGATCTTCAAGTGCTGTGCATCAGACCACCCCCTCCGGTGGCCCGATCGTGAGCCCCGCTCAGAGCTGGAGTGAACGAGAAGAGATTGCTCGCCAGGTAGGAACCTTTCTCAGGAGGGCGATCTTGGGAGAGATTCGTGGTCCCAGTGGAAGGGATCGCATCAAGCAGGCCAGCAAAATCTACATCGTTTGCAAGGACCGACGGGGTCAGGTGTTCACTCATCCGGTAAAGCTTTTTACTAGGTGGACGGACGTCAAGGCCATCTGTGCTGATTCATCTGGAGATTTTGGTGACTCGGTCTTTGTTGGGCTCCCATCGCAGCGAGAAGTTAAGGCAGCGTTAGCTGGAGCTGGTTTCTCGGCGCCTGACGCGCCAGATGACCAGTGAAGAGTTCCTTGAAGGTGATCGCTCCGAGGCCCTTGACCTCGACGAGGGTGCGGAGCGTGGTTCCGAGGGGCTTCCTGGCCTCTCCTTTGTCTACGAGAGTGGACACACGAATTATCACTACGAAGTTGGCCGGATCCTCTTGGCTGACGAGCTTTCCTTCTCTGCGATCATTCTCATTGCGGAGCAGGAAGAATCCATTTTGTGCGCTGTCCCATTTGAAGTTTGGAACAGACGTGTTTCCTCGCGGCTTCTGCCCAGTCGGACATTGTCGCGGCCTTTGCTATGTTCTGTAGCTATTTGTCAGAGAGGCTCGAGACGAGCCCGAAGCTACTTTACAGATGAAAGTCTGGGTCGGTATCCTCGCAAAAGATATGCTGGCTCAGGTCGAATTCATGGACGACTTGGACGTGGACTATGGCTTCAAGGCTCCTGGACTCGCAGCTGTCAGCCTTCCTTATGCAGAAGGCTTGGTCAACCTGGTTCAGGAAAAGTTCGAATTCCTCACTGCCGAATCCGGCCCTCAAGGAGAACTAGGAGATGCTACAAGAGATCGGGACCTGTCTGGAAGACTTTCCAAAGTCGAGGCAGGTCTTGGGGAGATTCGAGAATTTCTCATGGAGCTCCGGGAAAAGAAGACCAGGTCCGACAAATCTCACACGTCTCAAGACGCTCGGAAAAGCCCTACTCCCCCGGCTACACCCCGGGCAAGTGCTTTGCGGAAGAATCCAAGTCGACGGGTTTCCTTCGCAGGACTGGACCCTTCGGTCGTCGATGCAGCTCTTCAAGCAGGGGTACCAGAGGCTCACCTTCAGGAGATGTCCGGCTTGCTAGCCAGCAGGCCTTCGAAGATGGAGGACCTACCTCGGCCCGGAACTGGGAAACCCCGGGACCCTTTGTCCGACTCGGAGGACGACGGCGACGAGCTTGTGCCGGATGCCGACGCTGGGTCGACAGGAGCCTCATCCTCAGACACTGGAGTCGCTCGGGCCATAGTCAAACTGACCAAGGTCTGTTCCCATCTTGCAAATCAGAAATCAAAGAAGAAAGGCGACCAGCTGGAACATCTTCTCGACCTTGGCCAAGGCAGCGAAGGATCTATAGAAGGATCTGGCTTGGGAAGTTCAAAGAAAGCTGCAGCCCTACGAGTGTTGAAGAGGCAGCTGACAGAGAACCCGAAAGCCCTATTCGAGAGCATCGAGTCCAATCTGCATTCAGCCTTTGCAGCTCGACCCATTCGTCCGGGAGTGCCAACTGCAGGAGGAACGGTCCGGGGCTGGCTAGAGTCGAGATCTCGGGTGCAGAACTACACTGGCCACGTCCGATGGTGCTGGCAAGTTGCGGGGATTTGGGATTGCCTGATTGCTGGAGAAGTGGACCAGGCGCGAGCTCGGTGCGCACTCCTCCTGAGCGCAGCAGACCAGAGTTCTATCGATGCTGGATCTTGGGTATTAGCTCAACAAGTCCTTCTGGAAGCTCCCCCGCCTTATCATTCGTTCTCATCGCATCAGAACCCCAGCATCCACGAGAGACAGCATTCTGCCCTCCTGGATCCCAGGTGGCTGGACCTGCTCCTTCACTATGTTCGGGAGTTGGACAGCTACCAGGAGGCAAAGAGAAGACTCGGCGGGAAGGGGGTGAAGAAAGACGAAGAGAAAGATTCAGACAAACCCCCAAAACCCAAAGCCAAAGCCAAGGCAGGGGGAAAAGGAAAAGGAAAGCCAAGCTCCTCGGGAGGCGAGGAGAAAGAAGCCGCAGCATAGAAAGTCCAAGTGTTGTGAAAGGGGAATCCTCCACCGTCCCAGGAACGCCCTTTCTCAGTTCGTTGCATGCTAGGGGACGAAGTGACAATTCAATGCACATTCCTGGAACTCGAGCTGGCATCTACCTGGCGAGACAATGCTTTGAGAGTTGCCTCCGCCTGGTCCTGAACAGCAGATGCCGCCTCGGCAGGTTCGCAAGGTGGCTTCCCTCTCCCGCTGCCCTACCCTGAGGTCTTGAGGCCTCAGGCTGTTGGAGACGCCCTGGAGAGATCGCGAAAAAAGATGATGAACGTCGTGGTGATTGCTCTTAACTATACCACCTTGGGTAGGCCTCGGAGCTGTCCTTCTTTTCTCCTCCCTGGACGTCGTTTGAATGCTGTTCAATGGGGTATCGTTCGCCGTCTTGAGGCCTTCTTGGAAGACTGGCTCATTGCCAAAGAGGTCGGTCCGGAGTCTATGGGGCGTGCAGCTCCAAAGATCGAGAGTATAGAGGAGGCCTTGAAGTTTTTGACGGTAAGGGTTCAGTCCATTTCTTGTGATTTGAAGAGTGACTATTTTGGAGCACGAAATACTCCGAGCAGGTCAGAAGGATTGTCTGCCGATGTTGGTGAGGTAGTGGGCAAATCGAGTAGTCCTCTCTTTAGCACCTTCAAGGAGCTTGATCCTGATCGACTTCGCTTTGTTGGTACCCCTAGTTTTGACCCTGTGCCTTATTTGGATCCTGCAGGTGCTCGGATCTATCAATACCCACTTCAGTGTCGGGTGCCCGCAGCAGAGTTCACCGGGACCGTGCCCCATGTTAGGATGCATTGTTCTTTTGAAGCCAAGATCAGACTGTTTGAATTACTTGACCAGTGCAAAAGATTGAAGATTGTTAGGAGAGATGAGATTGAACCTCGTTTTGCAAGTGGAATGTTCTCTGTGGTGAAGAGCATCAACCAGGATCGCCTGATCTTAGACTCCCGCCCTGCGAATGCCCTGGAGATCCCGCTGGAAGGCTGGATCAAGTCCTTGGGGTCTGCCGAGATGCTCACCAAGATTTACCTCCCTCCTGGTTTTATCCTTAGAAGTTCAGGTTCAGACCCTCGAGATTTTTACCATCTATTTTTGGTTGGTGAAGAACGAGCTCGAAGAAATGTTCTTTGCGGTGGAGTTCCTCCTTCTTTTCTCAAGCATTTGGATTGCTTCCCCCCTGAACTCGAGAATGAGCCTACCGTATTTGGGTGCCTAGCCACTTTAGCAATGGGGGACACACAAGCTGTGACCTTGGCCCAGACCGCCCACCTCAGCCTGGCGCTTCGATGCGGCGCTGCTCACCCAGGCAATCTGGTGTGTTTGAGCTGCCCAGTGCCGCGAGGGCCGGATTTTGTTGGGATTGTTATTGATGACTATGTATCCATTAGCAAAGTCCGCGATGTGTCCGTCAAACCTTCTCATGGGGCTTTGCTGGCAAAGAAGATTGAGAGAAGGTATGGGGAGGTAGGTTTGGTGAGTCATCCTGAGAAAGGCTTTGAAGACGAGGAAGCCGCTTCGTTTTGGGGCATTGACCTTAATGGGAAGCGAGGTTTGATTCGTGGGACCCTGAAGAGAGCTATTCCACTTTTTGGTATCCTACTTCAAATAGTTCGACTTGGTTATAGCACAGTTGACCTTTTGCAGATCGTGTCTGGTTCATTGATTTCCTTGTTTCTTTTCAGAAGAAGAATCTTTTGCATCCTAGACCTGATTTTTCAGGGCTGCGTTGGGCGTGAGAAAGATGACATCATAAAGTTGAGCGGAGCTCTGAAGAGTGAACTGCTAGTCAGCTGCTTTTTGATCCCATTCGCCTGCACCGACCTGCGAGCCTCTCCTCGAGGAAGACTCTGCGCTACCGACGCCTCAAATTGGGGCGAGGCTGGAGTCTTAGCAGATGTCGAGGCGTCGGTGTCTCAAGAGCTGGTCAGACATTGTTTGAAGAAGTCAGTATGGACTAAGCTTCTACCACCCGGAAAAGCCTGGGAGAGGACTCACGATCTCTTGGACCCCGAGTCTGAATTGCCCTCCGGAATCGCTTCGTATTCTATGAATCCTCTCTGGGAGGTCTTGGCTCGAAGTCTGAAATATCGGCTGCTTTTCAAACGGAGAGCGCCCAACCCGCGCCATATCAACATTGGCGAACTGAGAGCCTTCCTTCGTGCTGAAGTCATTTTGGGGTTGGAGCAACCGGGCTCCAGAGATATTTTCGCTCTAGATAGTCAGGTGTGCCTTGGCTGCATTTCCAAGGGGAGATCCTCCTCCCCATCATTGAACAAAGAATTGGAGAAGACTTTGGGAAACGTGCTAGGCCTTGGCCTTTTTTCTGAGACTGTGTACTTTGAAACGAAGTTGAACCCTGCTGACGATCCCACCCGGGGAGTACCTTTGAGAGAGCCGACTAGATCCCTTCCCTCGTGGTGGCATGAGGTCGCCGTTGGAAAGTTTGAGCCCTTTGATGCATGGTTACAGCAGGAGGGTTTAGATGCACATAGTGTTTCGGGCCTTCCCCCCTTTGACGAACTCTTGGCTGGACACGCACAGGGTCTGGCTGGAGAGGGAATTCATAAAGACCCGGAGAACGCCTCAACTTTCTCGACTGCTCAAGTGGACTTTGAGAGCACTGGCTTGAACTTCGAGCCTTGCCGTGGTGTCGCCTTTTCGGCCCTGACTGGAGCTTACGCTGGAATCTCTGTAGGGAGCGACTGCACCTTTGAAGGAGCTTTTGGGACCCTTTCGGGAGAAGACGCCTCCTTCGTTTTTGATTTCCTCGTTCGTAGCTTCCACCAAGGGCAAGTCATTTGCGGTGCTGAGTTTTCCTGGCCTCCTACAAAAGCTGGGTTCTTAGATCTGTTTTCTGGAGAGAAGGGAGTCGCCTCTTGGCTCCAAAAGTTTTCAGATTCCTGGGTCATCACCTTTGAAATAGACGAGGGAGCTGAGCAAGACCTGGACCAGGAACCGTGCCGCAGAAGGTTGGAGAAGCTTCTCGCTCTTGGTGTTTTCGAGGCTTGGGGCGGAGGACCAGTTTGTAGTTCGTTCTCTCGAGCTATTTGTCCAGCTGTCCGCACTCGGCTGCATCCAGAAGGTTTGGCTGACATGAGGCTCTCCATGCGACCGAAAGTTGAACAAGGGAACAACTCTGCCGCATGGATAGCTAAGCTTTGCGAGTTGAGTTTGATGCTTGGTATATTTTTCTGGGTGGAGAACCCTGACGGCTCCTTCCTCTTCCTGCAAGCAGCTTGGACTGAGTTGATTGAGAAATGGGGATCTGCCGTTGGGTTTTGGAGACTCGACTACTGCCGCTACGGCACAGCCTGGCGGAAGCGTACACGAATCTTTACAAACTCGATCTTGAAAGATGTTTGCACTTTCTGTTTGAGGGACCATACTCACACTCCTCTTAGAGGTCGGTCGAAAATCAACAGAAAGAGTTGGACACTGGTTGCACAACCCTACCCTCGGAATGTTGCGAAGACTATTGCTGGAGGCATAGCTACTAGCTGTGGATATCTAGCTGAATCCAAGGGAGGTTTTGATCCAGCAAGCTTCGCCTTCTGTCCCTGGCGGAGAATCGGTGAAGCCAAGAATCCAGGCCCTAGAGCCGACAGGAGCTTTAATTTGGAAGAAGTCAAGCTGGTTGAGACTAAAACTCTACAGCTGCAGGGGAAGATCTGGGCCTGGTTCCTTCGTTGGGTTTGCAACTCGGTAAGCAAGGAAGCTTCAGAGAGCCTGATGAGGAATCCTATGACCCTCTGCCTCTTAGCCAAAGAATTTGGCCTCTTCCTCTTCAAAGAAGGTAAGCCCTTGTATATTCTCAGGCACTTGATCGCCTTAATTTCGAAGCAGATTTTCGGTGCCAAGCCTTTCCTTGTCCCGTGTTGGGAATTGATCTCCAAATGGGAAGAACTCGAACCGACCGAACACAGAACCCCCTTGCCGCTGGCCATTTTGAGAGCCATGGTTGTTGTTTCATTGCACTGGCATTGGGACCTCTTCGCTGCCACGCTACTGATTTCTTTCTTTGGAATCACTCGACCTGGAGAAGTTCTGAGAGCATATCGTGCAGACTTGTCTTTGCCCTCTGATCGGCTCATGACCGGAGGAGCCCCGTGTTTCTTGAAGATACGGGCGCCCAAGAGCCGACGGAGAGGCGGAGCTAGAGTTCAACACGCCTCTATTTTGGACAGCTTGGTCGTTGGTTTTCTGGAAACTTCTTTCAGAGGCGGTCAGAGAGATAAGCTGCTTTATCCGATAAGTCCCTCCTCGTTTAGGAGACGTTGGGATTCGGTGTTGAAGTTTTTGGAGGTCGATGGTGCAAAGAAGCTGACGCCCGGCTCCCTCCGTGCAGGAGGAGCCATAGAAGAATACAGAAATGGTACAGATTTGACAAAATTGTTGTGGAGGATGCGGCTTAGACATCTTCTGACTTTAGAACACTATGTTCAGGAGTTGGCTGCAGATTCCTTCCTAGCAGAGTTGACACCACGGAGTAGACGGAAGATTTTCTTGTTTGGTGAACTTTTCGTGCCCACGCTTACAGTCGTTGCTGCTTCCGGGTCCTTTCAGGACTAGCCCGGCCTGCGGCGCTTGGTCGCCTGCACGGTCCGGCCTTCACCCGGCCGGCCAGGCCCTAACAGTGGATCCAGAGCGCTCGTGGATTTGACTGATTTCTGGCAGCTCTCCTT